GTAGGCCGTGGCCCCCAATCTGAACAAGTTTGGGTGAATTCTGCTTGGTAGCACTTTGGCAGATACTCCTAGATGTAGAGAGTGGGCGTTTTCAAATTAAGTTCCAAGGGGTCTGAGGATCACATCACCAAAGATACATCTCTTTTGCAATGAGTAGATTTCTTGCTTCTGAAAGAAAGAAAAAAATATCCCTGTGTGAGAGATCATCATGAGCTGGAAGGTCCACACAGAAATTAATAATGGTGACCTGGGTGGGCAGTGGGCGTCTCTGAAGACCCCCCCACACACACACAAACACACAATTTATATTTAGTTTTAGGCCATTGCAGTAAACTGGTTCTCAAAGATTAGATGTGTGGTCTGTTATGGGGAGGGGGTCTTTCCCAAAGCCTTATCAGTGTCATAGCTTCATTTTTATGTTGCTGTTTTACTTAAACTGGTGTTGTTAATTAGAATGTACTTGTTACAGTGCTGTGACAGAGCTGACACCTAGTTGACTCTACCTCAGACTAGTGTATTGCTGGGGTTCCACCTCCCTCCCCAGGTAGATCTTAGCATGCTAATTGCTGCATTGTTCAATTTAATAGAACGAAGCAACAAACCTAACAAATAAACATGGAAGTTCATCTGACATGACATGGCTGAACCAAGGGTTAAAGCACACACAGATGTGGTTTTCTCCCCCCCCCCTTTTGTGCTGCTTTTCCTGTATTTCTTTCCTGTCCTATGAAAAATTCATTGAAAGTATCGCTTGCCTTCTGAAACATCTTTTCCTCGGAGCAGGAGACAAACGCAGCCTTATTCAACCTCAGCCAATCCAAGAGATCTTGGCTTCCATTCTAGCTTTATGCAGCACATAAATGAATGAATGGACACCAAAGCTTAGCTTTTGACTGTTCTTGAACCTTAATTGTGATAAATGGAAATCCATAATTTCTTAGCCACCATCTTCTTCTGTAGCCCTCCAACTGTAATGGGAGTGAGGTCAAAAGGAGTGGCACTCTGCTGCTAATGAAAGCATTCCTGCTTTGCACATGGCTTGCACACGGTGAAACAGATGTGTGCACCAACCAAAATCAAAGCGGAAACTCTTTCATTATTGGCAATCTGCGGAAACTCTTTCATTATTGGCAATCTGCTGCTACTGGTGTCATCACTCCCACCACACTGGCAAGAGGGTACGGGACTATGTGACAAAATATTTATCACTGTGCTGAAGCTTGTATGAACTACGAACCCTTATTCACAGCACAGCACTCTGCAAATAATCAGCTTGGCATTGATAGAGTTGCTGGCTAGCTTCAGTCACCAGTGTGGGACCTTGGTGGTGTAGACATCTTAATTCTTAACTTCACAACGGCATGTTCTGTTTTACTTAGAACTGCAGGGTAGTGAAAGAATGTTATTAATGTTTCCAGTGCTGTCAGTTGAACATTGACTGCTGAATGTAGGGTTTCTCAGCTAATGGTAGCTTGATTGGCTTGTCATCAGTTTTCTGTAGAACTTGTCCATACAAATCTTGTCCAACTTGTCTGGCTAAGGGGAAAGGAAGGTAATCTACAGCTGAGGTGGGCTAGGCTGTGCTTAATTGGACCATACATGTTCAATCTGCTGCATCAGAATACAGCCCAACTTCAGATAGTTTTACTACTGGTTAGCTCAATGGTTTAGGTCTCTGGCTGCGGAGCCAGAGGTTGGGAGTTTGATTCCCCACTGTGCCTGCTCGACGAGGATCAGACTCAATGATCCATAGGGTCCCTTCCAGCTCTACAGTTCTTATGATTCTTATTATTGTGTTTGAGTCTCTGACTTCGGTCAAAATTGCATGCAAATCTAGCAGGTACCTTATAAAACTTGTATCTGACTGTAGATACAAAGGTTGTTGATTCCTATTTTACCAGTGGTGATTTTAGTGAAGAGATTATAGCCTTTTTTCTTTTTGCCCAGAAAAAGGAGCAATTGCTATGAATAGAGTGTGTCAGGAGATCAGATTCCAAGGTGATCCATACATTTTCCCCCAATAAATCTTTGGTTCATTTGAGGGGTAGATGAAGCACCATGGGAACCCAAGACAGTGATGTGCCCAAAGCTAAGCAGAAGGAAAAGAAACCATCGTCACCTAGGGATTTGGAGTTGGTAATGATGGCTGAGCTCTTTCCAGATCATTTGGCATGCCTACCTGTGTAGTGGAAGAAAAAAATAAGCATACTGTATCTGACAATCTAGAGAGTTTTAGATGTCAAGAGAAGGTAGAGAACTATTCTGAGTGGAAGGAGTCCTTTTGAGGCATCTGTCAAATGCAAACAACTGAAGTTCAACCAGGTGGTAATACTGTAGTCTGCTTGACGACGTTAATCTGTTCCAGCGAAATCGCTGTAGAGTGAAATAGTCATCAAGCGGGGGGGGGAACCCAATGAAACACATTAATAACCGGTTAATGCGTTCCAATGGGCTAAACTATTCTGAGTGGAAGGAGTCCTTTTGAGGCATCTGTCAAATGCAAACAACTGAAGTTCAACCAGGTGGTAATACTGTAGTCTGCTTGACGACGTTAATCTGTTCCAGCGAAATCGCTGTAGAGTGAAATAGTCATCAAGCGGGGGGGGGAACCCAATGAAACACATTAATAACCGGTTAATGCGTTCCAATGGGCTAAATACCTAATCGAATAACCATTTAATGCATTCCAATGGGCTAAATACCTAATCGTCCACCGAAGATCCTCCACAGGGTGGCCATTTTCCGGTGCTTGTCTTTCGAAAATTAAGTCCTGAAAACAGTGGGGAGCCATTTTGCACAGCAGATGGCCATTTTGAGAGCCACCGATCAGCTGTTTTCAGATCATCATAATGTGAAGAATTGGTTCCCGAAGTAGGGAACCGATCGTCGCAAAGCAATTTTTGCCCATTGAACACATCATTTTGCGATTGCAGAAGCGATTGCAAAAACCATTTCGCGATTGCAAAAGCGATCTCAAAAACCTCATTGTCAAGCAGATTCATCATTTAACAAGGTAAGCGAGGCACCACTGTATGTCTGTAAGTGAAAAGACTGGAAAAGGTGGGGACTCCGGCAGGTTGACTTTAGATCCCAAGAGGTGGGATATTTAAAGTATATCAAATTAAACAGCAATTGGAAACCGTTTATCTCGGTCCCTCTTTCAGATGCACAGGCTCTGCTTATTTTAAGGTGAATAGTGCACCGAGGTTTCATTCTCCATGAGACGGCAATACTTGTTCCTGCATCAACTTGCCCTGGAAGGAAGCCAAATAATTTTCATACCTGCCTCTTTTTTATCGCATCTTGGTAAACACAGCCAGGGAACAAAAAGTCAAGGTCAGGGGAGGCGGCAGGCAAGACTCTGGGGCAGAAGTGTGAAAGGAGGTCAGGATGTGGCCAAAAGCTTTCTCCTGGTGGGAGGGGCCCAAGCCTTCATAACAGAGGAATGATGCCTTCTTGAGCGGACGCCAGAAACGCTGTTTTGTTAGGTAACCAGGAGTCAAGATTGCAGATGTGCTGATGAACACCCCATTGGCTTTCATATTTAGGAATTAAGACACACCCGTAAGCTTTGAAGCCTCAGTTATCTTCAGGGCCTGGACTAGAACTTCTAGGAGACTCCCTATCTGGTTTGACGTCATCCCACGTTGCATTGCCTCCCATTCCCCTCAGCTCATCAGCTAGAGAGAGAGAGTCATGTCTGGGGATGGGATTGTTGTAATTCCAGGACTTTCCATTCCAGAAATCACCTAGAAACGGTCTACAAATTTCTGGTTCCGGAATTAGAGAAATCTCATGCCTAGGCATGGCATTGATTGGTCCCTGTGTCTCAGGACATCTGTTGTAGTTCATGAAATAAATATTTCAGGTGCCACAGCTTTCTTTATCTCTCCTTGTGCATGCTGAAAGAGGCTAGCACCTCCTTGAAAACAGTTTTTATTAACATCTAGGTTTTATTTATAGACAATCCTACTCTTATCTTGCTGCCACCCCACCACTGACTTCTAAAGGCTACATCCCTTTTTAGCAACCAAAAGTGATTAGGAAATCATTTCTGGTTTTGGAGGGAAAAATGTATTTGGGTCCTTCAAAAGATTTGTGTGGACTGTAGTGTTAAAGTGGGTGGTCCACCCCTCTTGAAGGCACAATTGTCCATATTCACATTGTGTTTGTGTGTAAGACAGAGAGAGCGGGAGAGACAGAGATGGAGAGGAAGTAAGTTTGCCAGGTGAGCTATTTCTCGGCAAATAAGCTTTTCTGCGTTCCCAGGGGGGGAGATAAAATTCAAAGTACTGTAAGTGGCACCCAAGACAGAGAAAGTTTACTTTTAATGTTACATGATGGCTTCAGTGTCTGGTTGCCTATCTCTTCCACCTTCCCATCAGATCCTGAAAGCTCTGTTTAAAAGTATTCCTCTATATGTGTCACACACAATATTTGTACATGAGATAGCACATAAATTCCTCACTATCTGTTTATGAGTCCTATTATAAGCAGTTCCACAGACGATGCATTATAATAGTCTATAATGGTAAGTCGAGGTATCTCTGGGGCCCATCTTCCTTATGAGACACAAAAATGGGGAGAGTCTAAATTGACCCCCTCCCTGTTTATTCTGCATGCAAACATCTCTTCATTTAAACAGGCCTTAGGCAAATAATGTAATTTGTTGAGGGAAGAGTTTTTAACTGGATGGGTGCTTTATTTTTCTTCATCTGTTCTTAAATTGTGTTTCAGCGTTTGGGTTTTCATTGTATTTCATTTCTGCTGTTTTATTGTAAACTGCACTGGGTCCCATTGGTAAGAGAAATGCAAGGTTTAAATAAAATAAAGACATGAAACATTGGGTGGATAAATTATAAGGGAAAAAAGCTCCTGACTAACAAGCAACACTGATTGTTTTTATTTGTCCTTGTGGATACGATGCCTCAGTGTGGATTCCATTTTCACAGTGGTTGTGTGTATTTCTTTTCCCCCTTCCCATTCCTACGCTACTCCAGGTAGTGGACCCATTCAACTATGGCAATTCTTGCTGGAGCTTCTGACAGACAAGTCCTGCCAGTCCTTCATCAGCTGGACAGGGGATGGCTGGGAATTCAAGCTTTCTGATCCTGATGAGGTAAATATGGACAAATTAGGACTGGAAGAATATTACGTTTTTGTTCTGATCAGATCAGACTGTCTTGAGACATCCTGACAAGGACTTTTTAAGCCCCATAAGACTTCTGATCTCTACTCCATGTGTGAGACAAGGAACACAGTTTATTTATTGCAATGTCTCAGCAGTATGAGCAGGACGTAGTCTCTGCCTAAAATTAATATTCTTTTCTTTTTAGAAGCATAGCACACACAGCTAGTAAGTAGAAAAAGACTACCCATTTGTTCAAAAAGATACAAACAACCAACCCACTGCTTCTGATCCTTAACCCTCCATGCAACTAAACAGCAGCTATCACCAACCATGTGATTGTAAAACACGAGCAAAAATCATTTTCACCAATGCAAGCGCTCTCATTGTGAGTGTAAGAAAACATCTTGTCCTCCCGGAGGTGAAGAGAATAATTTCTTTGGTTGCTCTTCCTTCCATGCAATAAAGAGACAAGGGTCCATTAACATTCCTCCTGCAACACTAATCAAACTTCGACTGGTGCACAAGTAGAATATTCCTTTTTAAACAAACATGTGCATCATTAACATGGGGGGACCTTTATCTTTCTAGGTTGCAAGGAGATGGGGCAAGAGGAAAAACAAGCCAAAAATGAACTATGAGAAGTTGAGTCGTGGATTGCGTTACTACTACGACAAGAACATCATCCACAAGACTGCGGGAAAGCGCTACGTCTACCGTTTCGTGTGCGACCTGCAGAGCTTATTGGGATACACCCCCGAGGAGCTCCATGCCATGTTGGATGTGAAGCCGGACGCCGATGAATGAACGGAACACGTAGTCTGGAACAGAAGTCCATGCTGACGATTCCCTGTGTCTTATCTAGAAGTTCTGTTGGACTTGGTGACACCTCTTTTTCTTCCCGTGGGTCATGATTTTCCTTTAAAAAAAGAACAAGAAAGAAAGAAATTCAAGTCTGCATTGATTGAGAAAAGATGAGAAGTTAAGCTGATTGATGAAACTGTGCCATAGTTTGGCTGGGAAGAAAAAAGAAATTGAAATGTCCTTTCAAGATTTTTATATAGGGTTGACATTTTTAAAAGCCGGAGGGGGGGGGACAGCTTAAAAGTCAACCATCATGTCACAGATTATTTAATTAATCCATTCACCATCTCCTTTCCATCCCGTGTCACAAACTGACAATCTAGGAGTTTCCATAGCTCGCTCTCTTTTAGTAGAGGATGGTCTTAATCGGCAGGTTGTTCTATTTTGTGGGGGAACCTTGTCACAATAGCCAAGAACTGTGGTCCCAGATAATTTTGCATTTCAGTATATTATATTTGGGTATGTTTTCTTGTTTTGTTTTGTTAGATAGGACCAAACCTTTTTCTAATTTGTAAAAACAACAACAGAAGTTATTTTGTTAAATTTTGTGCCAGTATTTTTTTTTAAATAGTCTTAAGCTCTAAGGTGGTTTCAGTACTGCAATATTGTGTTTTGTTTTTGTTTTTTTATTCTTATGCCAGCACAGTTTTAAGTGAGGGGAAAGACAGTATCTTCTATAGACCCACCTGGAACAGACAGATTGAAAAGATCACTAGAATAAAACTAGAGATGGGAAGCAAGACTTGTGAATGGCCATTTCTCTTTATATGAATGGACATTTCTCTTTATATGAATGGCCATTTCTCTTTAACACTGGTCCTCCAGCAAGCACTTTACCTTCTTGTCTTGTCAGTAGAGCCAGCAGATCTCCATTGTGGCCATTTGGGCAATATTTCAAACAATAATGCCATTTTCACATTAGGAATTTATGCCCATTCCTTCTCAACCTTCTTAAGTAATGACTCCTATTTCTACATTAAAATTTAGCAGTTACCTTGAACACACCTGATCCCTTCTGATTTTGGATCAAGGGTCAAGCTTGGTTATTCTTTGGAGGGGAGACCTACTAGGAATCATAGAAATCTCTTGGTAAGATCAAGGAGGAATTCTTCTTCACACCTTGGGTAGCTGCTGTCAGTCAGATACCAGTATAGATGGGCCAGTAGTCTGATGCTGTCTAGGGCATCTTCCTTTTCTCCTTCCTTTTTTTGTAATCTAGAAATGGGGAACATCTGGAGCTGCAGATGTTTTTAGACTGTAATGCCCATTGTCCCTTATACTTTGTATGTTGACTAGGATGACTGGGGACTTTCGATCTGGACAACATTGCCCATGTTGTAGTGACATTGTTGGAATAGGACTCAATAGAATGTGGATATGAAATTCACTGAGTGATATTAGTCTTATGCTGATACAAGTTGCCCTTCCCTATTTTTTCATGAACTAAACCAGTTATCTTTTCTATACTTAGTCATTGTCATTCCAGTTTAGAGGAAGAGGTGACTATATCCAGGTGACACAAACATAAGGCAAAAGGCATCACATTTCTAGCCAGCAATTAACAAGTCCCCACAGGCCAGTGGTGACTTCTTAATTGCCTGTTGAAATGACTTAATATTATGCCTTTTGGTTTCTCCATGCTTTCATAAAGGAGCAGGATCTCAACCATTATCTTGTTAATACCCTAAATTGGACAAAATTACTTTTGAAGTCCCTTCCAATCCTATGAATTTATGATCCCACTCTGAGGACTGGAAAAGAAGGCAGAGGTTGTGATTTTCTCAAAGTTGTTGAAGTTGTTCAGGGATTTGAAATGAGAACACCAAACGTAAGTGCCTGACCTCAAAGTATACAATCCCAAAATAACAAAAAACCTTTGAAAATATGTATTTGAAACAAAGGATGCTCTTGCCGATATCCCACATTTCCCTGCTAATATTTTAAAAGAGCATGATAAAATCCAAATAGAGGGATTGAAGTTGAAATGAAGTAGAGTGTGCTCATTTCTTTTCTCTTTTTTAAAATTATTCCCAGCTGTTCCAAGGCATCTGCTAATGTACAGGGATGACTCCCTGCTTTATAGTTGGATATCCATCTTAGTTCCCTTTGAAAGTAAATGAAAGCTTCCACTTTTGCTTTTAAGTGGGGGTGGAATCACATAGGAGAAATAAAATCTCATTTGCTAGTTTTTATGAGGAAACCCAGTGTGGTGTGGTGGATAGAGTGAAAGACTCGGACCCAGAGGCCTGAGTTCGAATCCCTGGTCAGCCATGGAGTCTTACTGGGGGAGTGGAACTGGTAAACTACTCCTTCAATATCTCACTTACCTTGAAAGCCCTTTTAGGGTCACTTTATGTATTTATGTTCTCTAAGAGAACATAAATACATAAAGTCTTGGAAGTCTTTCATTAAGGTCTTCATGTTATATAGCTTGAATACCATGTCATACACATATTATGTATCACTGTAAAATAACATATTCCACACTCCATTTTTTCCAGAGAAACAAACAAACAAAGCTTTTGGGAAAAATGGGGGGGAAACAGTTTTTTCTCCATTTCTTCCCATTTTTTTCCAGGACTTCCCATCTCTAGCCACCGTAGGTCAGCTCCAACTTGAGGGCACGCAACAACAACAAAAAGCAATATTTTTGACCAGCAATCCGGCAACTTATGTTTATTTGAACAGAGGGATGCAATTCTTAGGTTACTCAGTCAACATGACCAGTGGCCATAGTGGCTGGGGTACTAAAGGAATCCCCAAAGCATATGTTTTCCCTTTATCTGTAGTTGACAAGAAGTGACTGCCATCTTCATGCCCTTGGAATGTGTGGCATGAAGTTTAATAAGAATGAATGGGAAAGAGGGTGTCCCTGTGCAAACCCGCCTGAAACAGATAGCTTTTATAAGGTAAAGGTAAAGGTTCCCCTTGACTTTTAGTCCAGTCGTCTCTGACTCTAGGGCACGGTGCTCATCCCAGTCTCCAAGCCATAGAGCCAGTGTTTGTCCATAGACAGTTCCCGTGGTCACATAGCCAGCGCGACTAGACGCGGAACGCCGTTACCTTCCCACTGAGGTGGTACCTACTTATCTACTTGCATTTTTACATGCTTTCGAACGGCTAGGTTGGCAGGAGCTGGGACAAGCGACGGGAGCTCACTCCGTTGCGTGGATTCGATCTTATGACTGCTGGTCTTCTGACCTTGAAGCACAGAGGCTTCTGGGGTTTAACCCATAGTGCCACCACATCCCATTGAGATTCTATAGCTCAGTAAAAAATCCAGATAAAAATGGGAGAGGGTGAGTGATGTTATGGATACACAATATAACTCTGTATGTCTATGAGACACAGTTTAGTAAATGGCTTAGGCAGAATCACATTGAGCCATTTTTAGGAGAACTCTGAATCAATCTTAAGTTCAGTAGACACAGAAATATGGTGCATTAAGCAGCCTACAAGAGTTCCCTTTAGAGCAAAACTGAAGAAATATGTGTCTATGAACTTAAAGCAGTGATAGACGTGTTTGATTTTGTTCAATTTAAGTGATAGAGTTGATTCATTTTAAAAGTGTAGAACAACGAGCAAGGAGACTCTTAGATGATTTGAAGTTGTCAGTCCAATTTGCAGTCGAGCAGATCTGAGATAAAGATTATGGTTTGCACAGCTAGTCTGTAAAATCCAAGTAGGAATCATTACTACTCTTGATGGTTATCTTCGTGATACATGAGGTGGTAAATCTGTATCTGAATCACATCATTTCACAGTTTGAATTATGGAATGCTCCCCAACTTAAAAATATGAGTACTACAAGTTAGGATAAAAGGTTCTCATTTTCTCCCTAAAGTGTCAGTTATATATGGTCAATTTTTTGTTTTAATTATGTGGAAGAGCATTCCAGTGGGTACAGCATCTGAAATGGTACTGTCCAGATAGGGAGGAGGCCATAGTCGTATCTTCTGAGGCAGTCTTAAGATGAGCTCCAAGATGGCCTTTAAAAAAGGCATGCTTGTACATAGGAGAAACAAGAGGGCTTCTGTAGGCTTTCTAAATTACACAATGCCATCAAAGTGTACAAATGTATTCTTTGCTCAGAGTCAAAAGGTAGTGATGGTTGAGGGTATCACAACAAGGAATATACGTGATCTTTGGCTTGATAACTCTTCTTGGTGTGCCAAATCCATGCTGAATTTGTCCATGATTGCACACCAAAGCCAACGTGGTTTGAAATGATTTTAGCTGCCTTGGCTGCGTTGGTAGATGCCTGTATTTTGGAATCCTAGTTTTCTTAACTTGTCTTAGCAATTTCTAGCTCTGTTTGTGAAAATACTATTCTCAGGGATCTTTCCCAATGGAGCTGTTGTTCAAATCACCTTTGAAGATCATTAGATGGGTGTGGGCTGTTTTATACTTTGAATACAGACTCTTGTCATCAAATGCATTAGGCTTTTGGGCTGCAAATGGTTAACATTTTTCATCACCTTGTAAATGGCTGGTTGGACATCTTGATTTTTTTGAAGCAAGAAAAGCTCAATATTTCTTGAGAAGGGATGTAGAAGGAAGAAGTTGGGTCATGGCAAAATCCATGGTGGATCTTTTTTTGGAATGAGGCTAGATAAATTAGGACCAAGGGTTCTTTTACATTTCATTCCAGATGAAGGGAGGGTATGAGTAGATAAGAGGGGTGGAAGATTAGTGGAGGTGGAAGGTGTAAAGCCAGAGAACAATGGTGTCCTATATAGCACTTATATCATAGATTCTTCAACATCTACTGGTTTTAGCCCTAAGCAAAGAAGGAGACACTTCTGAGGTCACATACCCATCAGTAGATTAGAGAAACAGAAGGTGAAATTGTGGGAAAGGCTATAGCTTTATGAATCAGGTAGAATCACTGCCTTATGTTGAGCCTATCTTAGCACTTCTGCAGCCATTTTCTATATCTGTGGCTAAGACACAAAGGGGTGGCAAAGTCAAGTTATTTCAGGGTTTAGAAAGAATGAACGGGTGGCCTGGATTTATTTTAGAGCTTTTCAGTCTATCCTGTTGGAAAGTTGCAAAGCAATGGGCATCTCAAAACAGAGCTGATATCATCAAAATGCACACATTCTTGGGCTGTTACCTGATAAGATTAGAAACCTCCCCTATGGCAGGAATTTTTTTAGCCTGCATTGCTAAGAAAAGAAAACCACATAGATGCTCCTTTTCATTATTTGCACATCTGTTCAGAAATCCCTTTGAAGTCAAACAGACTTATTCCCAGGGAAAGGTTTAGAGGAAGACTGGACAGTTTACTATGCTTGGGAGAAACATTTAATCACCCAGAACCCATCAGAGACTGTACTGTCCCACTGCCGAAGTTTCTTCTACTGTAGCAAAAGTCCCTGAAATTTTGCCAGGAAACAGTGTACAGAGAAAGCACTCACCTTGTTTCTTAGCAGAATCATACTGACAATAGCCCACTGGGAGTACAGTTTTACTGGGGGGAAAAAGATGCATGCTCCCAGCAGACCATATTTCTCACCCAAATTGCTGGGGGGATGAAGGGAAGCTACCAAAATGGATTGGGAAGGCTTACGTAGTTTGCAAACCATGTGATGCCCAAATCTGATTGGTAGAATTTCTGACAGTGTCCACTGAGATCAATGCCTTAGTAAGTTTTCATGTGCTGGAGACAACCCTGTCTTTCCCATTGCTCTTTGTAGTGCCTGTATAAATTCTTGAGACTGAGCATTCAACAAATGCCATTTTGACAAAGAAGAGACTCTCTATTTAGGTGCCTTTGTGAAAATCTGTAACACTTTGAATGTGTCGGAAGTGTATCGGTTGCTAGTCTGATTGCACTAGGTTCACACTCTATGAAACTGTTGTGAATTGTATTAAGGGATGTGAAGAATGCTTGCTAAGTTTCTCCTCCAGTGAGACAGGCTGTGCCTCCTGCTAAGACAATCCTTTTTAGAGTTATCTCCAGAGTGAGAACAAAGGAACTGCCCCCCCCATCTCATCAGGGGTTCAGCAATTTGTGAACAAATGTCTCTTCACAGAATTAGCGGGAAGCAAAGCACACACACGTGGCTGGTGGAGCAACAAGACACAAACAACCCAGCAGATGCTTCTAATTTTTTAAAAGTCCCTGCAGTAAAGAAAAAGCTGTTGTAGCTACACAATTTGTGCCGTTTGTAAAATGTATGCCATCTCTGCAGAAGCTGTTCTCACAAATGCAAAAGCTCATGTCAGGAGCGACATAAAAAACGAAAAGGAAAAGCCCACCATCTCAAATTGTTGTACAAGAATATGTGTGAAGTTTTGCATCCTTGACTGTGGTACTGTCTTCACTGCCGCCACCATCACCTTTGCTATATAAGCAAGAGAATGGCAGCTTCCATGGCCCACAGAATACAGTGATGCCTCGCAAGACGAATGCCTCACGCAACGAAAAACTCGCAAGACGAAAGTGTTTTGTGATTTTTTTTTTGGTGACTCGCAAGATGAATTTTTCTATGGTCATGCTTCGCAAGACAGATTTTTTCCTTTTTTTTATTTGTTTGTTTTAAATTGCACAGCCATTAGTACAGATTTTTTCTTTTTTTTTTTTCTTTGTTTGTTTTAAATTGCACAGCAATTAGTACCGCGCTTTACAAGATGAAATTATTGCAATATGACATGACTCGCGGAACAAATTAATTTCATTTTGCGAGGCATCACTGTATTCCCAAATCAATTGTGGACATCTCCAGTTCAAAGATCTCAAAACGTCTGAGCTGGGAGGGACCTGTTTTTGTGGGGACCTTGAAGTTCCATTGCCTGTTAAGAAAATGATTAGTCATGGCAAGTGAAAGTCACTCTCGGCCCCACATTAGTGGTGGGCTCGTTTTCAA